TTATAGCTTGTATCTTGTTAACAAGACAGCTAGAATTTCTGCTTTAGTTATATTTTCGTTCTGTAATTAACTTACTCGATATCTCATGTCAGGGTTAGGTAAAGCATCAGTCTTTAAAGTGATCCAATACCAACACATACCTTTAAACAGAATCTTCATGAGGATTTGCTTGTTCTGGAACTCATTCATCTTTGATTGTAACTTCCCTCTGTATATTTTTCCACGATTCATTGATCCAGATTGATTTTCCAGTTCCTGTATTCAAAGTATCTTCTCTCAGTTGCCTTCAATTCATTCAGAAGTCCTACAAGCTTCTTTCAAATTTCCCGCTAAATGTAATGCCTTTTTCACATCTTTTCACTTTTTAAATTCTGTTAAAATTTCAAAGTGTTCAGATATTCTTCCCAAAAGTCACTTCCATCATAATGCTGTGGTTCTATTTTCACTGTTTTTGACATGTCTGTGCTACCATGTTAACGAGAACTTTCATTTTCATTCCACTCAGCTTTTGTAGATCCAGCGCATTACTTTACATCGAAGAATTGCTTTCCTTGTGTTTTCAGTATGACTTGTCTCTTGTATTATGAAATCTAATGACGATTTTCACATTTCTTGAAATTGCTTTTGTAGTATTTGTGTTGAAGCTACCTTTGGTGTTGAGGTCACTTGTGGTTTACCTTTAAAGGTCTGTGGTTTGACAGATTTCTTTTGTAAGGTTTATTGTATATTTTTGCTTTTCTTTTGTTTCTTTCATCTCCAAATTTAGGTCTTTCAACTCCGAATTTAGGTCAAAAATCTGGATTGAATTCCACTTTTCATCAATTTCATATTAGAATACATAGCATTCATTTGCCTATGTATTAAATTAAATATTTCCTTATTGAAAAGATCTCTGTGTTGTTTTAATTGGTCCCAAATTTGTTCCTGAAAAACTAAGACACTCTCCTTTAATTCTTCGGGAAGGTCTTTTTTATGCTTTCAATTAATCATTGCTTTGACCAGGTAAAAGTGTCTAAAATTTCATTTTCCCCCTGTTTTCTTGCTTTTGAGTGGAATTGTGTCCTCAATTTGGTCTTGATCCATTGAAATTTCCAAATCCTCCCTCTCCAATGGTTTCCTGAAAGTAACAACTTTTAATTAAAAGATTCATTCATTTTTAACACAAACAAATAATCACAGAGCTATTAATCCCAATAACTTTAACAATGAAAATAACAATTACACCGCTGCTACCAATTTGTAACGCGGCTTGAAACGTCATCAACGTTTGGGTTTGGATATTTTACGAGCAAATGGCACTCAAATCATCAAAACCTCGTAAACTAACCTCGGACGTAAACGGTGTTCTACCATTTTGCTGATACAGTCATGAGATCCCCCAAATGTTATACATTTGAAGTCTGGGTTACTTTGTGACATGTCCAACACGATGTTTTGCATTTAAAGACTATGTAATCAAAACCAATGGATAAGGAAGAATTAGACAAGTTAAAAAAACCTTTTGAAGAACTTTATGCAGAGGGGAATATGAAATGAGCTACAAGGCAGTTCCCGGCGTAGAAATGTATCGATTTGATGCATATTCCTCCACCAATCACATCCGAGGTTTGTATGGAGCGAAGGGGAGTCAGTCGAGGATTGCAGATTGAGCCGATGGCAAAATGTAGCGCAACATCTTCAGTACAAAAAGTAAATAAATCCAGGATACTAGAATTTATTAAGCACAGATAAAAACGATAGGTAAAGTACGGTTGTAAGACAATAATAAGAATCAAAGTTTAAGGACCCAGGGAAATTTTTATGACAGAAAAACTATTTAATGAAGATGAAGCTAACTCGTGAAGTTTAAGTGAAGTCGAAGAAACTCTGGTGCATATATTGTGGTGAATCGAGGCCACCAATAATATTTAACATCAACTCTTAACTATAAAATCTCTGATGAATCGCCGTTACCAAGAGTTTTATATTTTCCTGCAGTCTTGAATTATCACCTGAACTCGGTGTAAAATTCCGCCAGTGTTAGATAATTATCACAAATTATAATAAAGAAAGTTTTAACAATTCTGTATAACATCCAAATGATTTAGAAATATTTTAGAAATTAACCAGCTTAAATTATTAAGTTATAATCCATAAAATCATCCTATTCAATGACGAAGGGGTGAAGATAACGAAAAGTGATCGATCTCGTAATAACTTCAAATAATACAAAAGTCTTTGAACAGGACATAAACACGGACCCCTGTATATTCTGGAGGTGGGATCAGGTATCTACTTAACTTATTAGCCAATTAATAGGCAGATTATACCAATTTACGGTAAATATCTCGGAGCTGTGCCTCAACTTTGGGATGAGTAGTAAAATTCGTTATATGTATCCTGTGCTGAGCCCGTGTATATGTATTCCCGTGTTAAGCCTTTTATATATATGTGTATGTGTGCGTATGACGTCAAATCTTTTTGTGAGGTATTAGAAGAAGACGCCATTCTCAGTACCGGTAAGCACCTACGGGTAACCACTGTGACCTATTTCGACCTGCCGTGTGCGGTCAGGGGCTGCTGTGTGCGCCTCACCTACATAATAACTTGCTGTTATGTGCGCTCATTATCTCTGAAATTTTGTGTATTTGTAAATTTTAGGGATGGCAACGAATATTCGAACATTCAAATATTCATTCGATGAGTTGATATTCGAATATGAATTTAAGATTCGAATATTCGGTGTTTTTCAAATTTCATAAAAAGAAGTACTGTGATTAATAAATTTTGATTAGAATAGTGCTGGAATTATCCCTTTAATTTACTAGCGATCAATTTCGATCGCCTGATTTCTTTCACTTCTTTCTTGGCTTATAAATCTACTAAATAACATGTATTTTGTTTTGAGTGAGGTGTTAAAGAATTGTACAATAATGCTTTATGTATAATACAAAACGTACTTTCATAGTTTTCATTAGTTAGATACGATCGGATCTAGAATCGAGGACAACAAATGAAATCTAAGAATGTCTAAAAGGCATGAAGGGTATACTTATCAAAATAAAATTATTTGATCATTGAATGAATGTCCGATAGAATTAATCTGTAATTAATATTGTAAAGGGCTTAATTTCAGAATAAATTGTATCAAAGATTATAATCATATCTCTTATCAGGCAGTTATAACACGTATTGAAATCTGAAAAGTATACAGTTACGACTATCTTGCCTTTTGTAAGACGACTGGTTCCTCAGTTGGAGCTACTATAAATACACGTTTTATTTGTTAAAATTATACTTTTCTATATTTAAATCAATTATTTATTTCAAACATTGATAACTATCAAATGGAATTTCTTGTTGTACACCTACAAAAGTCTTCATACAATTTTATTTGCAATATAAGTATACCTACGCTAAACCTTTCATGAAATTAGGATGATGCATATATAAGATAAAACAGATTTTATTTATTTTATCGAATATTCGAATATATTCGAATACTTTCATTGAATATTCGAATATGAATTATTGACAAAATTGACATCCCTAGTAAATTTCATATTAGAATACACAGCATTCATTTGCCCATGTATTAAATTAAATATTTCTTTATTGAAAAGTTCTCTAGATCTGTGTTGTTTTAATTGGTCCCAAAGAGCAAGAGCCACTTAGGGCCTTTTTTGGCCCTGTGAATTTCTGAAAATTCAAAACTGTATAGTTTTAGTCAACAAGGCAAAATATAATACCTGAGCACTTGGTGAATGAATATCTACTAAAAATGACGTAATTTTCTTTCTAGTTAATGCATTATGACGTCATGAATTGCGTCATTATTCACATATCCTGAATAATTCTTCAAAAATGGCCAAATTATGATGCCATTTTTTAATATTTCCATACAGCACAACCTCCGACCCAAAATGTGTAAATATTATAAAAGAACTATTAATGAAAATTATAAAACATATTTTAATTTTTGGATCGAGGGGTGTGCTCATATTTTAATTCTTTGCTGAAGGTTCTCAAAAACACCTGTTTTCTGCAAAATTCAATAACATTGCAATTTCACACAACCTCTTTTTCAATGCCTAGACTCTTCAAAGGAAATTCTGTTACATAAACTGAAAGCACTAAGTCTCTACTTTATATTAATGTTGAAAATCGTGAACGGGGTATTAGTCAATAAATTGGTATATCTACAGGGCCATTTTATGCATAAAGTGAACCTAGCTCTTTGTTCCTGAAAAACTAAGACACCCTCCTTTAATTCTTCGGGAAAGTCTTTTTTATGCTTTCAATTAATCACTGCTGTATTGTTTTGTGTAATAAATGTCATTACAACATTGGCGAGAAGGATAAACGGCGCGAAACATCCGGCCATGTGCTTTTAGAAAAAAATCAAAATCAATTATACTTTAGATAGCGATTCAGAACCCATATGTATTAGTTTATACTAGTGTACTGGATAGGTAAATTCATAATTAGAGTAAGTTTTGAGAAGAAAAGGGTTGATTCGTAAAATGTATTGTTCGTTCGAATTTCCTCAGTATGTAAGGAGAGTCAAGTTCTACATAGGCTTACAGAAATACTTGTTATTCCATGTAGGCAATCACATACTTGTCATCCAGATACATCTGTGGTTTATAGCTGTTCTGTTTTTAAGTCCTATACTAAATAATAAAGTTGCAGTTTTAAAAAAAGTCATTATACCACCTAATTATTAATTGGGGGAAGCAAGCTCAAGGAGGCTGCTCACCTTGCTATTGAAAAGAATCCAAAGACTATTTACAAAGCCTTGAAATATATCAAAGCGGCTGTGAACAATCGCAAGGCACTGTTTGGTTCAAGGGCTAATTACAATAGCCACCGTGTCAACCGTGTCAGTTTCCAAGATGACTGTGTTGAGCCAGCTACAGATAAAGCATTCGAACCCTTCAAGAGTCAAAACAAGACTCCTAAGAGAAACTTGAAATCCTGATTGCTAAACTCATGGGGCTAATGGATCGAAAGGACCAGCCATGATCAATGTCAAGGTCTCCGACACCCCCAAAGATGTCGTTGTTACCTCTGTAAGAGATATGGTCACTTGCAAAAGGATTCCCCCCAGGCTAGAGACAAGGGAAGGAGCCCTAGCCCCGATAAAAAAGATTTAAATTTCAGAGGACTAGGCGGATTGGCCAACACTCAGTCCAGTCAGTAAAATTTGGCCAGCCATTACTGGTGAATGAGAGTCTGGACGAAAATTATGAAACGTGTCATGAAGAGCTGGAGGAAACACAAGATGAATCACTCTTGTCAGTGGATGAGCTCGGTCATGAACTGAATTCATCTATTGACAGGGATGTCAAGGAAATACTAGCAAATGTAGCTAGCCTGGTGACCCTTATCCATATAAAATCAAAGAAATTCACTGCTGTAGTAGATACTGCTGCTCAAGTATCTGTGATGAACCTTCAACGCGCAAGAGAATTAGGACTTGACATTGACGACAGGTAGTTAATATACCTGAGGGGTGTGGTACCAAATGAAAGAATACTTCAGCATACAATTAGAAATGTCCCACTTGTATAGGCAAAATCTACCCTGCAGACCTATATGCAGCAGACATAATCGATAGTATCTTACTTGGTTTGGATTTCTTATTAAAATACAAATGCATTGTAGACCAGAAGGATATATTGCAAATAGGCAGCAGTACCATAACAGGGATAGTTAAGGGGATTGAAAATGGCACAAATGTTGACATAAGGAAAGTTTTCATACAGGGAAGGACAGTCATCCCTCCAAATACAGTTTCCTGTGTTGTTCTTGATGGACTGGCAGACATATCGTTCTCGAAACTTTGAAGATTAATAAAGAGTTTGTCATGGAAGCAACCATAGTTGATCGGGAAAATTTAAACCGGCCAAAGTCAATATTAAGAACCCTACAAATGGTACGATTGTTCTAGAGGCCGGGAAGCACATTGGCAAAGCAGTAGACCTCAGCGAGGAATTGGGAAAGGTAGAACAATATGATATAAAATGTGCTCAATTTGTTAGCCAACCAGCCCCAGCAGAGGAACTGGATCTGCCTGATCACTTCTGTGATTGTTTGTTAGAACTTGCAAGAATTTGAATGCTGAAGAGTCGGTCAAAGTCAAGGCACTGCTTATTAAGTATAATGATGTCTTTGCAAAACATGACTTAGATTTGGAATGCTTTTTTGAGATTAAACATCAGATTAATACTGGATCTTACATCCCAGTGCTACAAAAAAATGCGTAGAACTCCCTTTGGATTTGAAGAAGAAGTGAAAATAACATCTCTTTTTTGTATCAAGAGCAGATGGGAGAAACATGCTTTCCTAGCCTCTTACACTGCAAAACAATGAAATAAAATTCATGGACAATGATGTTCAATATGGTCCCTGAGGTTGCCTTCGGAGAATATTCATTAAACGGTTCCTCTTTAATGTTTTTGGACATCAGCAACAAATCCAATGCTCTAAGAGGTAATCTTACCTTGTTTCAGTACTGTCCCAATTTAAAAATTTTGAATATGACAGGGGTACAGCTTACTGCTCCCCAGAATATTGCAGAGAAAATATTCCGTCCACTTCAGCCACTTACAAATATAGAAGTGTTGATATTAAGAAGTATATCATTAACAACATTCGCAAACAAATTATTTCCAGTTATGCCAAAATTAACAGAACTTGACTTGCAAAATTGTCTCATAAAACAATCGCAGTTATACAATTTTGCAATGGTACATCTGAAGGTTCTTCGTCTGGATAGAAATTAGATAGCTACCATTACAAAAACAACCCTTCCAGCACATGTTGTACATCTTGGCTTAAGTGGCAATCCTTTCTACTGTACATGCGATCTTGTATGGTTTCGAGGCTGGATACACAAAAATTCTCAAAAGCTCGTGGAGTGGCCTTCCAATTACACCTGTAGTCTTCCCAAGGAATGGGTGGATAAAAGTTTAGTGGATTTCCATTTAGATTTTTCATTTTGCCATCCGCCCAATCCGTACATCATTGTGGCAATTTCTGTATCAATTGTCCTGCTGCTGACCGTCATTATATCTAGTGTATTGTATCAGAAACGATGGCAAATCAAGTATCATCTGTATCTTCTACGCGCAAAGAGAAGAGGATATGATAGTATAGGACACAGTGAATTTGTGTACGATATTTTTGTTGCATATAACCATGCAGACAGTATATGGTTTATTTCAGAATTGATACCACGGCTAGAAAAACAAGAAAAGCTGAAACTCTGCTTACATGAGAGAGATTTTGAAATCGGCAAGCTCATTGTGGACAATATCATAGATACAGTACATAACAGCCGAAAAGTTTTAATCATCCTGTCCAACGCATTTGCCCGAAGTCAGTGGTGTCAGTTTGAATCCACCTTGGCGCAGTCACGATCTATGAATAATGGGGAACGTTCTGTGATCGTAATAGTAAAAGAAAGTATTAACATTAAAAATATGAATAAGTCCTTAGACGCACTTCTTAAAACTACAACCTTCATAGAGTGGCCAAATGACAAGACTGCAAAAGATATGTTCTGGAACAGAGTTGTGTCTGCTGTTAAATCTTAGTTGCAAATAAATATGTATTGCGTGGAATTATGCCTTAAAAGCTTTTTACAAATTCTTTTGCATCTCTCTCTCTCTCTCTCATGCATGTGTGTGTTGCACTAAATTAAAAAAATCTTATGCAATATATTACTTCTTGGCAGTTTCTTATTTTATATAGCTTACTAGTATTCAAATATTCAAATATTCGTTGAGAGAAAAGGTTCATAAAGGGTTTTCTTTGCATTCAAGATTAAATGTTATCAGAATGATTGCTCATGTTAACGAGTGTTTTGTAGTATGAATGAATATAAACTTCTTTAGAATTGAGCACACTGGTCGATGTATTCTGAATTTTATGAAATGTATCCTTGATTCTCATTTAAAATGTTCAAAATGTATCAACACCATTTTACATACATGTATGTGATGTGATTCTGTAGAATAAAAGTGCAAAAGGGTTTGAAGATTTGAAAAACAACTTTACGACTGATAAAGTATATCAGAATTAAACATTCATTGAAATGTCTGTCTATCTTAAGAACTTTTCTTGACTTTGGCACTCATTCCATGATTTTGAGTTGATTTTTGTTTTATAATTCATATTTGTTATTTCATAGGTTCTCTTGTTAAAATATCGTACTGGTAAATATCTATTTGCATTTATTCAATTTACAAAGATACATTGCCAGGTCGAGCTAATACTCGACCAAGCCCCTACCTTTACTCCTCACAAAAATATTAATTGCTGCTGTAAAAGTACTGTGCTACTGCAAATTCTAGAAGTGTTGTAAATTAAAAGTGCATTCTCAAAAACTCCAAAGACGTTTTTGAATATTTTAAATCATTCAAAAGTCAGTAACATCAAGACGTACGATTTTTCAACTCTTTACACAACCATTCTTCGCGATACGTTAAAACTGGGCTTTTTGATATCATAGCCAACTACTTCGTCAATAAAAATAGAACTCGAAAATGTTCATATCTTGTGATTGGTCACCAACAAAATTTACTTTTTAAAAGAAATCATTAAAATTCTACACACAAGTACTCTAAAATTATATACACAAGTAGTTCAGATAGAATATTCTCTCCTGCGTTCGAGGTTGCATTACATCCGGAACACAACTATGGCACGCCGATTGCTTCAAAATTATTTTCTGCACGACCTAAAACAAAAATTACACGAGTAAGTAAAAACTTACACAAAGTGAGGAAAATATACACGAAGCTATTGAAATTTACACAAACTATAGAAAAACTGCACAATCAACAAAATATTTACACGATATAGTGAGGAAATTACACAAACTTAAAAACGAAAACTGCACGAGTGAGAATACAACATCGACATAATATGCTACGCATCCTCATTGCGCACATTTCATTAATATTCATTAGAGAACAGTTCAATGTGGTTTGGATGCTTGAAACAAACTATAATTTTTTTACAAAAGGAGGAGTAATTAACGTGTTGGTAATCTTTTTAAAAAAGATTCTTTTAAAATTCCGCTAGACTCCCAAGAATATATGTACAACGTATATTATACATGTAGATAAATTGACAGGCACACAATCTTAAACTTGTAGTATATGAACAACCCCGAATAAAAAAACATTCTTCACAGAATACTTGTATAGATAACGTAAAAAAGGGGGATGCATATTACCAGTTGTGTGTTTAATTGTTGGATTTTTAAAAGTATGTCATTCCTCTATATAGCAATTTCTTTTGAAAGTTTAAAACAATGACATAAAGGCCTAAATAAAAATAAATAAAAACATGTGATATAATACAGGAGAGTTAACAACAAATCAAACTCTTCTCCTCCACCACCTACTGTGTGTACTTTTGGTAATAATCAAGGATGTGCATGCGTGACCTTTTCATACAGAGATCCTTCCCTGCTGGTTCTGGAACGAAAGACACATGTACGCTAATCGATTTATAGCTATTTGACACACCAATAATACCTTTTGATTAAAGATTATATTACTAGCAATTCATTTTTTTTTTTTTTTTGAAGCAATGTTGCGATCATCTGGGTTGTGGAATTTGACCGAAAACTTTTTGGAAGTCAACAGTAAAGAAAATCGAGCAAATATTAATTGTGCAACTTAAATTTTAATATTGAAACGCATATCTCACTTTTTGGTATATGTATGTAACAAAGTACATGTAGTACATGTAGTCTTAACTTTTGTGCAGCGTGTGGTGATTTCATAAAAACTCCAAGAAAATGTAGAAAAAATATACAGTCGTTTTACTTATGTAAATTAAAGTTTAATTTATGTTGTTTTTGATGTATCGGCGGTAGTCTATTTTGAATAGTTAAAATGCGTATAAAGGTGTTAAGAAAATTTAAAATTATAAAATACAGGCAAGTAGTATCGTTTTTGAAAGCGGGGGAGGGGGGGGGGAGTTAGATTTTTTTTTTTTTTTTTTTTTTTTTTGACAACCTACCTGAAAAAACAAAACAAGTATTTTCGAAACACATTATAATACCAAATTACTTTGATTTAAACTATCCTACAACAAAGGGAGGGGGCAACCAGCTTTTCAGTGGAAATTTACAATAGAAGTAGGTTATGTTTGGAAAAAAAGTGGGGGGAGGGCAGACCCCTCCTGATGCTACGTGCCTGAAATATTTTCTAAGAATTTAAGGGTACATAAAATAGTCTATCGAAATCAGGATTGCAATTCAACTGAACTGTAACGATATTGTAAGACCAAATTCAAGAAGACATACAAGATGAACTTAATTAGCTGGGACTTGGCTACACATGCACATTTATTTTCAATGTGCAGATTTTGACAATAATAAACACACGGTAATAAAACAAAGATTTCTTGAGGTCATCATATGTTTTCTTATATTTATTCGTAGTCATGCTCGAAGTAAAACAAGACCTGGTTGATGCCATTGATACACATGTACAATATTGCTATAAAGCAAACTTTTTAATTATTTGTACATGTATTCGTACAAAATACAAATTGCATAGATTAGGCTTTTTAACTCATAATCTGATTTTTCAAAAACGTTAGATTTGCACATGAATAGTCTTTTAAAAAGTGAATCTTGTATCAAATATGTTCCTTGAATATTATTGAAGATTATTTTCATTTTATAATTATACAGTCATTTTTTTTATAATGACTATAGATTTGGGTAAAAAAGTGTTAGCCTATTACAAAAACTTAGTGTTCGGAAAATAATTAAAATTTTATGCATACGAATTCGAAATGTAAAGAGAAATTGTTGTCTTGGAAAATATTTGTCAAACCTCGAGCTCCATAAAGAACATGATTTATTTGCATTATTTAAGAGTGATACAACACATTCTTTGTTCTTTCTATTTATTATAATATCCATTCCCCTTTTCTTATTTGTAACATTGTACGTAGATGTATTTAGTAATTCACTATGTTTTAAAATTTCTGATGTGTCATTATGGTCCAACGATTTGAAACTTTAATAAATACATAGATTCAGATGTTGCTACTCTATCAATCCACGAACCAGATCCGCCACTGATGATATGTTTTACCGGTGCCAGGATCATTTGAGTAGAGTTTTGTTATTTCATTTGGACAAATTTTAAGTAACAAAACACAAAACCGCATGTACTAAAGCACACAGAGTATATATATTTTCCCTTTATCTGGTCCTATTTATTAAAAGTGAAAACATTTATCAAGTAATCGCCATTACGAATGAGGGTTTAACGCTTACCCTTAGGAATGTCTTGTTTTTTATTTAGTAGTTTATGACTGAAAATATGTGATATCATGGAAGGAATTCATAACAGTGTAGGCTACAGATGTCCAACCAAAATTGATATTCTCATATTTTATAAGTAAAGATACATGTATAATTAGAAAAAAAAATATTTTTTATGTTTGACTTTAAAAACATACTGTATATATCTAAGGTCAGGTAATTCCCACTTTTTAATCTATGAAAAAAAATCTGCCCAAATGAATTCATAATTAGTACAAATGAGAAGTACCAAAATGAATTCTACAATTTAATGATTATAATCAGCAATAATTCTGCCATCATTTTCATAAAGAATCCACGTTATTAATTGTTTTATTACGCATGTGTTAATTTTATTTTATACAAGTACTTTCCGTTAAAGTTGTATCTATAAGTTAGAGAATTTTAAAAGACCATAGAGCGTATTACTTTTAGTTCGGAGTCGAGTGCATCATATGCAATGGTACTTTTTTCCCCGCATTATAACACAAACATGCAATTCCTTTCTTGTCACAATTTATGTCCGGCATCATATAATACCTCCATATTTTGGCTAGGATCTCGGTCAATATAAGAAAAATATAATATCTCCGAACAACTTTTAAATTTTTTCACACAGTTCACAAGAAAACATTTCATTCGTTCGATTGGCATTAGCTAGAAATCGGATCGAGTTTTAGCAAAGAAATAAAGAAGCAAACAAACATGCATATCATCGTCAACGCCATTTTCTCTCGATTACACCCAGCATTCAAGAAGAGATAAAGAGTACAGAAAACCAAGAACACAATGAATATTCTATATGCATAATAATGATATGCGCAGCTGTATGCGCAGTAAAATTGTTTGTGTAATTTTTAGTTTCCTCTGCTCGTGCAGTTTTTGACTTTACGTTTGTGCATTTTATACCCCTTAATCGTGTAAAAAATTTCGGATTCGTGTATTTTTCGTTATGTTTGTGTTAAAATCGTTCAAACTATGTGCAATTTTTACCGATACGTGCATTTTTATTTTACTCGTGTATATTTTTCATCAAGCTCGTGTATAAAATCGTGATCGTTGTGCAGAAAATAATTTTGAAGCAATCGGCGTGCCATACACAACGGCAATCTTCTGCTGACTCCGCTTCGCTCCATAAAAACAAGTGTGCGAGCCATGCGAGGAGCTGCGAGTGAAAGGCCCGTGGTTTTCCGCATTGATGTTTGATCCTGTCGAGTATTTATATCGTTATCGAAATAGGTACTAATGAACCTTATGTGA